CAGCCTGGTCACAGTGACCGTTTGTGGCTGCAGGGACATCAGGGCTCACCACGTGCAATTATTCCTCAATGGCTTCATCCTTCCTTTTTGAGGAGACATCAAACCTTCCTTCCTGCCCTAAAGAGACAAACTGCCTGTGAGTACTGGTGAGCGGCGTGCAAGCTCGCTGCTAGCAAGTGCAACCTCACAGTCCAGGTGACCTGGGGGCTCGTCCTGCTTAAGCCTCTTCTCTCCTCAATTCCCATTACAGCCTCGGAGATGTAGGCATCCCTTTGAAATACCACAGTCTCAAGGTGCTTTCAGCAACCCCACAAGGGACTCCACAAGCATGTGGCACATACAAAGGTGTTACCTCATGTCCTCTTCTTCCTCCTCCTCCCAACAAGAGACAAGTCAACACCTGGGGTGGCAACATGATCACTTTAACAAGAAGCCAGCTTGTACCGGGGGCACAGAATAGTGTCTTTTGCCAGTTCACTGAGCCCTTACCAAGAATACAGCTGTTGTGGTCTGTGGCTGGAGTGCGGGAGCGACCTCCTCACTGTGTGGTTCAGGGCAAAGCTCTGGCTCCTCTGGAAGGAGCACAATAATAAAAATTCAGCTCTGCCCTTTCAGTCTGCAGCTGCCTAACCTCACGGTCTGCAAGAGCAAACCTCTGAGCAAAAGCCTCGCTCTCCCTTGCCCTCCCTCTTACTCATTCTTTCTTATTTTGCCTTTTCGTCATCATCTTGGCGTTCTTTTCATCGCTTTGCTTTGTGGGTTTTTTTGCAGTAATGTTTTGAACACAAATCAGTGAAGCAATAGCATCCTGTGGAAAGGGCATTATCAGGAATTATGGACCAGTTTGATCATGCAATGGCCCTGAGGCAAAGCCAAATTGCCAAACCAGGTTTTAAACCCATAATCCAGGTAATGACCTGTCTAGAGGGTCCTGTGAATGTTATATGCTTGTGATGAGCCAAGGGTTGCTTTTTACTGAGACATAAAATTCTCTGAATGCTTTATTTAACTTTACTACGTTGGACATTTCTGACTGCCTCTCTCTGCTTTTCCTCTGTGAACAATTTCTAAGAGCAATGTGTAGCTCAGCTAGTTTTTTCTTTTTCATTTCTTCTCTCTTACTGAGCTGGTTGCAGAGGTGCACCTTTCCAAAAAAGCCATAGGAGTATCAGTGCTGGTAGGCAGAGCTCTGGTACCCTCAGGAATTTCTCTTTCAAGCCATTCCTGAGAGTGACCCTTGCATACAAAGCCTTTGACCATGCATCTTGTTTGTTTGATGCCATTGCTTCTCTCACCCTTTTGGCTGGGGACACGTGAATTCCAGCCTGGCATTACCGTGCTGGCATCTCACAGCTTTGCACTGAAGTACCAGCCTGTCCCTTCCCTGTCAGAGCCAGGGTTTAAAAAAACGAGTAATTAAAAACATGAGTAATTTGCACAGATAATTACCCTAAACTCAGGATACTGTTAAAGGTGCAAACTCTGCATCTGTGCAGCTTCGTATGCACACAGAATATCTGGGTGTGCAAGCTGCTGGGCAGTGGAAGGCTGTGATAATGTGTCGGTTGAATGCGGTGGGGTTGCAGACAAGGAAATCTATAGCAATTTGGCACAAGTAGTGAAAAGTTGCCTCTCCACAGGACAAAGGTAAAACTCCATCTTTGATGTTTCCTTGTTTGATGTCTGTGAGTTGTGTAGTCTATCAGTAATAAAAGATCAAAGATCTACCAGATAAGGATGAGGTTCAGTGGTAAGCAAGCAGATGTAGTTGGTACAAACTACTCACACTGCTTTGGGCTAGCACCTTGGTGCAAAATGGTCGAAAAAGCAGATTGAGGGGCAAATTTTCAGGCAATGGAGGTGGGGACCTGCCTCGTGGTTTGTAAAAATCACATGAATGGGAGGAGAATCTGCCCCCCACCATTGCCAGAACCAGGTACTTTCTCTCCATTGATGAGAGCCCATGGGAAATAAGCAGCCATTTCTGCGTGTTTGCTGTGATGGGAGTTTTGTCCCAGGATATTTCAGTGCACGTACCTACTTCCCTGGACTTAGATGGGTTTTAATCCACAGGGCTGTGTCCAGGCTGGCTGCTAGCAATGTACTGCAGTAAGAGCCAGGAACTACAAATTCCTTTTGTCTATCCACAAACACTGCAGTGGTGCTAATTGTCACCATCTCAAAGCCTTCAGGTGGCAGCTTCTAACTCACAGCACAGGAATTTGTTATGTTAATTATTGCTTGCCAGCCGGAAAGACACCTGCATGTCTACTCCAGCTTTCCTGGAGTTCTGCACTGCGGTCTCTCTTGCCCTCTGTGCACTTACTTGGAAGAAAATCATTTGACTTCTATGCAGAAGAAAGAGATTGGTGTCAGAAAGGCTGGAGTAGTTTCCCTGCGGATCCTTATCTTTGGAGGCAGTGAACCAGAAAGTGTGCTTTTGTATGGTCCTAAGAGGACCCCAGCAGAAAAGCAGAAGAATTTCTGCTTGAACATGGTAGAGGGGAAGGGGAGGAGAGTTAGCTATTTTTCAGTATGTTTTGGTTTATGGCGTTACTCCTCTTACAAACATGTGACCCACAAACCCAGCGGGCTGATGAAGACAAGCCATGAATCATTTATGATCATTTCATTCTGTATTCGTTAAGGGATTTCTTGGTAGTATTGTGTGCCTTAATTGCGCTGACATCCCCCACTCAGAAATTCAGGAGGGCGAGTTGGAAAATAAGAAAAAGAAACACACATCCTAAATCTGTGACTGGCAAACAAAGCTTCTTTTCACATTCTGCACTTGCTGGAGAGATCAAAGAAAAATGCAGTCATTTCACCCTCCTTCTGATCACGTATTGATAAAGTTTGTCTTGCCTGACTTCAGCTTTTAGCTCAAGACAAATCCCTCTGAACCAGATGTCGTTTATTAGCCCTGTAGTGCACTTGAGTCCAGCAGTGTCTGTGCTGCCAATCTGTGATAGGTCATCTCTTGGTGAGCCACAGCACCCATCGTGGGTGGCTCCTTCCCGGGATTCAGGGTGCTGGAAGCAGGTACCAAACCCACAGCCAAGAACAGGGCAGCAGATTTACCTGCTTTTAATGTACTTGAGTTTAATTGCAACAGCCAAGAGGAAGGAGGTAAATAAGAAAGTAATTAGAACCATAATTTGAGGATCTTCCTTCTCACTGGGACACAGATCGTTTCTTTATTCTCCTCCAAAGGGGTATAACTTGGTAATAATTTTGTCGCAGTGACATTTATGGGAGAAGCTTGAAAGGAGCAGAAGAAAAGAAACAAGCCAAGGGACAGCTTTCCCTTGCTGGTACCATGCATCAGTGCTGATGCACTTCTGAAATTCTTTTCAAACCCCTCTCAAATAAACACTTAGGAGTTAATTAATTGACCATTAGATGATTCAGAGTTGCTCTTGGCAAGCCCTCGTTACAGAGGGCAGGTGGTGGGGACCACAGCTCTCCCTTCTCCTGAACCCCTGTGCTCCTCTGCAGAACCTCAGTGGCTGTTCGTGCCTCACCTCGGTCCCTGTCGAAAATGCCACCGTTGTTCCCGGCAAATGCCCCAGTCCTGGCTGTGAAGAGGCCTTCTTGATATTCCTCTGCGTGATGTGTGTCTGCAGCATGATCGGGGCTATGGCACAGACGCCGTCGGTCATCATACTCATCAGGTAGGACCACTGCCGGGAGGAACCAATGAGCTTGGTGGGGCTGCTTTTGGGGTGGGAGCAAGGCTGGAGAGACTATGGGGTATCACTGGGAGCTGTGGGGAGCCAAGGATCCTGCACAACTCCTGGCCTCTGCCTTTTAGGCTGCACTGCCCATCCCCAGATCCATGACTTTGGACTGAACCTCCGCTCAAGCCATCAGAAAATCTTCCTTTGAGTAAGCACTCCCTGGTGGAGGCACCTTGAAAGAGCTGCCCATATTTTCAGAAGATTTTGAACCTCCTCAGTAAATGAGGAGCTATGGGCACAGGCTTTCTCGTACATTATTGAATTTACGTGCAGGCAGGAGTTTTGGGATGTGAAAACTCAAGCAGTCCTGCCTGAATTTCCACCCCATTGTTTCAAGTGTTAATTAAATGATTTTCTCTCTAAGCCACTATTTTGCTTGGTAGCACCTGGTTCATGCATGGCGTGGCCCCGCCGAGTTTAGTGCCTACAGTACTGACCCGCTAGAGGAAATACGGGAATTGTTTGAGTTCAGCTTTGGTAAAATGGGAGTGAGGAGGGACTGGGATCACAAACAGATAAGATCCCTGCAGGGATTCTGCAAAGAAAGGTGGCAAGCTTGTTCTTACCAAGGCTGGGATTAGCATGGAAAGGGAAATACAGATGTGCAGTTTCCAGTCCAGGTAGTAAAGACGTTACAACTGCATTGGGAAAGGGGCAAAATTGCAGCCCCATGTTCTCAGCACGTAGTGGCTTAATAAGATACCTTTAGAAATGGCCTGGAGATCATAGAAACCATGGAAAAATGAAAGGCTGCAGCAAAGGCTAGCTTTGGTCAATACCCCCCTGGCTAGAGTTTAACTTCTCTCACCCTGGACCAAGTCCAAGAACAGAAGGAACTTGAAAGTCTGAAGGACATCTCTGAGTTGAACCAATATGAATAGGTGGGCAAAAGTAGCTTATTCAAATAACTGACCTTGTGTTATTTCCAGACACATGGAACACTTCACCTTATGATATACATACATATCTAAGCCCACATTTATCCAGAATTACTTATCTGTCCGAGCTGTCACTTACTGAGAATAATAACCAGAGGCATAAATAGCAGATCCATTCTGCTGCCTGGAAAATTCCAATAAAATTCAATCAATAAGGTCTGTATTAGAAACACACTCTTGAGTGGATCTTGGACAGAACAGCTCTGTGAGGGCATGTCTCCCTGCAGGATACAAAATGAGATATTCCGCCTACTGGTTCGTTTCTCTCTTTGCATCTACAGTAGCTAAAGGGAAATCAAATTTCTCATGATAAATATTGTGGCAAAAGTAATTTGAAGTTTGAAGAGTTCTTTGTTCAAGGGAGCTGCCAGCACCTGTAGGATCCTGAATGGAGACGTCTTAGTGTCACCTTCAAATGAGATAAGCCAGCCAGGAAGAAGAATACAAGGAAATAAGAAAAGCGAAGGGAATATTAAAAATACTCAGCTCACAACTGTAGGAAGTAAACAATTCACACATCCAAATTAGTAACTTCACTCCCCTCAGAATCACTGATAGCTACTAAAACGTACAGGGAAGAGCTCTTCGCCGTATACCACCTCATACTCTTTTGCAACTGCCGTCTTGGATTGCTGAAAGAAAATTTTGGTGTGTGAGTGTGTCCCTGGTGTCCATGGCAGTGACAAGTGGCGTCGGCAGCTCCTATGGTTAATTTAAAAATGAACTTTAGCATCTACAAATTAGATGTCTTGTCTAGGCAAGTCATTTGTTCACTGCTAAACAATGAGAAAAGGAGATGTCTCCAGGTGGGAACTTTTACTCTGCCCTAAGGTATGGGGATTGACTTTGCTCTTAAATACAAAAAAGTGGAGGGAAGGACACCACCAGTGATTAAAAACCTACTGTGAATATTTCACATGATAATCTATTTTTTCCATAAAATGAACTTTAATAGTCCTTCTGTTTCCTTCGTTTCCCATCCAACGGTAGAATCCTATTTGAGCCAAGCCATTAACCACTGGAACATTTTTCCAGGGGTAGATACTTCCTGGCATAAACGCTTTATATTGAGCCTGGGGGTCTGCCTGAAAACTTCGCTGAAATTCATCCAGAGGTCACAGGCTTCATGCAGGAATCACGATATGGCGTTACATGGCCTGTGTAATGTGTTGAGATGAGGGCAAGTGATCAGAATGATCTTCTCTTGACTTAAAACCTGTTCTAGCTGTTTTATTGGTATTGTCTGATGCCCCTCCAATGTATTTATACAGAGGGCCACCACTGCCACCACGGATGCCACTAGCAGTGCTGCCTGCAGACCTCTGTAAGGAGCTAATGGAAGAGGCAGCTTAGGCCTTTAAAGTTCCCCTGTGTGGTGAATCTATTCATATGGGGATTGCTGTCCTGCTTTCCCAGCCTTTATATACTGTGGGAAATAAAATGCTATTATAAGACTTAAGACCAAATTAATGATTTCTGAAATTCCAAAGGCTTTGCTGAGCCTACCCCAAGAGGATGACTTTAGCCAGTAGCATCCTTGAGCTAAGCAAATTAGAAAGCCATGAATTATTTTTTAAAGCACCTTTGAACATTAAAGTGATACAGTGGGTTGTGTTCATAGCAAAAGGCAGTGCAACTGTTGTCTTCCCAGCATAAAAAGAAAGTACATGCTAAACTCACGCCCATGAAAACTAGTCTTCTTGAGCACTTCCTCACTGGGAGGCTTGATTTAACAGGCTGACTGAACCTTGTAGTCCGTCATCCTCTCTTCCCTCTCTTGTTCCCAGTCATCTGGGAAGTTTCAGAAGAAAAAGTTTTCTCTCCCTCCAGTTCTCAACCTCTGGAGCCTTGAAAGCATGATGGGAAGCTTGTAAATTGCAATTTACTGGGATGGGAATTTCATTTTTCCTCATCCTACGACAAGATTAGCTGTTGTTATTAATGACTTAGCTAAATTCCTGAACCTATCACCAATGCAATTACTTTTGGGGCTGTAGGCAGTTCAGGCGAAGGGAGAAGAAAAACCCCATTAATGACTTTTTGAAGAGGTGGTGGTGGCATCCTAGCTGACAGCACAGAATGGCCATGGGGTGTGTTAATCAAAGCAGAACAACAAGAATCGATTTCACTCTCTTCCCTCCATCCTTCCCTCCCTCCCTACAGAACCGTGAGCCCCGAACTCAAGTCTTATGCTCTGGGGGTGCTTTTCCTGCTTCTCCGTTTGCTAGGTAGGTACAAAAATTTCATGTCTTTCTCTCCCATCCTTTCCTCCCCCACAAAAAACTGTTTTTAACATGCAAAAGTTGGCTTCTACACCATTCAGTGCTGTGGTTGTCATGAGTGGGGTCTGGCACAACAGGGTCCAAGCCCTCTCTGTGAAGGATGTCACATGAAGGCTTCTGAAGGCACTTTTCCTGCCATTTGAATTGCGCTAATGGAAGAAAATGCGGTGTTGCAAGAGAAATGACCATTTCTGCCATGGTCCCACGCAACCAGTTGCTATTCTATAGCTGTTATTACCATGTCGGCAGCTTGCAGAATTACTGCTGTATTGCATATTACTGAAGTAGAGGCATACGTATTTTCATCCTCCTTTGAAGGACAGGTTCTGTGTTACATGGTGTGTTTTTCTGTTCTTTCGGGTCTCTCGGAAAGGAAAACAGTAAAATGAGACAGGCTGAGTCCTTGTATCCTCCTGTGGGTTAATATCCTATTAAAATGCATATGGCTGTTCCTCTGGACCAGTATGTGCTTCTTGTATATGAATTAAAAGGAATACACTAGGCTGTTGTTAGCCTGCTGCTTTTTTTCTGGGTGGCGGTTTTTTCCCCCTTTTGAAGAGATGGCTCCTGTTTTAAAGCTCCTGTATTTTAGCTCATTAATCTCAATGATTCAGGGCAAACTCCTCTGATCCATCGTTGTATGGGTCCATCTCATGCATGGGGTTTCTGCATGTTGTGGGGGTGGAATTTACTTTTTTTTTAGCAGGGCACAGGCAGTACTTTCCCATCTCAAAGGAATGAGCTGGAGAGTAAAGTGCTCTCTTAGTGTACAGCAAGACACTAAGAAGTACAGGACCAAAAATCCAATGGTACCATATATTGCTTTGCATAAGAGACCTCATCTATTTACTTATTTTTTGTAACACCTTATTCCCCATTAGCTGAAAGGGAAATGGTGGTCCCAGACCAGTTTACGATAAAGCCAGTTAGATTTTTCTTGCTTTTGGTGAAGTAACTGCAGTCATACAGAAAGCTCCATCAAGTAATCTTATCCAGAGCTCAGATAACTCAAAGGGAAGCTTCTGGGTTGACTTGGGTCAGCTCTGGTTCAAGCCTTGCAAAGACAGCATTTTCTTTAGCTGTCAGTGCTGCTTTCGGGTTTTGGCCTGTCTTCAGCCCTCGCTGGCTGAATGTGGAGTGTCAGCAGACAAGTGTGCAAGGAGGATGGCTGTCGACTGTTGTTTCCAAAGGAAAAAGTACTTAAGGGGGGGGATTGTCTCTCTTTTCTATTTTCCTTTCAAAAGAGAAAAGCCTCCTGAGATAGCACCATCTTGAATGTCTTTAAAACCAGGCTCAGACATGTATGCTTAAGTTGAATAGATCTTTTTTTTCTTCCAATAAAGAAAAATTTAAGTAAGAATTTAAACTCAAATCTTTATATGTTGCTCTATCACTAAGGAATTCACATGAAATAAGACAATACATTCTGAGGCATATCAGCAATGTAGCTAGAACCCAAAGAAAATGAAGAGAAAGGTACTTTTCAATATGAGCAAGGATATCCAAATCTTGCCCTTAACAACCTGAGGTTTGAGAATAGCTTTACTGATTTATTTTTAAAGCTTTTCAGTTCACCTTTAAGCTTTGACTTAAGAAGACAGTGGTAATAGCTGCTTCTTGAACGAAAGGAGAGTATTAAATATAGGAGGTATGAGACCCAGAGGTGCAATCGTAGCTAATAGATTTCAGTAAGACAGAAGCAGATTTTTTATACAGCCCTACAGTTTCTCCAATGAAATATATATATATATATCAGAAATTTTTGCAACACTTTGTGGTAAGAGGTAAAACATGATTGAATCTCTTTAATATTCACTGTAATAACATGAAACACAACTGAATTCTCCTGGTATCCTCCTGGATGTATTATCTTATTCCATAGGAATTCTACTGTGAGAGGGCAGCGTAGCAGTGTCTTCATATAAAAGCGTTACTGCAGTTTCTGAGAGAAGAGAGTAAAGCAATGCCATTGGAGCCAAAGGTTTGGAATGGAAATGTCTGGAATGGCAAAGAAATTTAGACTTGTGAGATCCTGGATGCATCCTTTCTGGATGGTGTTCACTGTGCATCCTGACAAAGCCTCCACTTACCAGGGCACTTCCTTGTGCTTTTCCTACAAGCCCATGTTGTTTGCCTCCTTCTTCCAACATGACAAAAACACAGTGTTCCTCTCTCAGAAGGATTTTCCAATCTGCAGTGCAACTCCTCAACTCCCTTGTCTTAGAGGGTCTAGGCACCAAGTTGCTCCTGGGACTCTCTTGTCCTTTCCTCTGGTAAAAATGACCTGAAACACTCACTGGCTCCTAAAAGTTTTTCATGTATTTTTCTTTAAGGTTTCCACATCCCTGCCTGCAATCACATAGGTGTAGCTTTGGAGTTCAATGAAAACAGGTCCTTCCTCAGCTCTTATGAGGAGCAATTTCCAGGCCAAATTACCTTGAAAACCTGGAAAGCCAGCTGAAGCCAGCAGATAGGATGATAGCTCTCTCTGAAGTTCAGCTTGTACGTCTCCAAAGCGTCGTATCAACATCTCTCCGCATGTTAACAAGGAGGGGCTCAAACCTCAAAATTATGATTCAAATCCAGCTTTCTCTTAGTCCAGAAAGCATGCGGCTCCTGCCTCCTCAGTCACTGCCACTTAGGTGGCATCCAGCACCAGTGCAGCACTGGGCACACAAACTGCATTCAGCACCACAGTCTCTTTGCTTGTCTCTGGCAGAAGCCTGGCTGAATTTTTAAATTCCAAGTTGAGTGTGTGGTTGTCCACAGGTTTCAACAAAAAAAAAAAGCATCTTTTAACTTAGAAGCAGAACCAGCACAGTTTGGAATTTCCAGTCATTGAAATGATGAACAGAGAGCTGGCACTGACATTTTTTCCAGAACATAACCAGGCTTTTAGATGTGATGACTGGAACTGGTGTTTCTAACAAAAAAGATTGTCTTGCTTTTCTATCATCTGTTTTTATTTACTGCATTTGTGCTATTAATGACTGGTTAAAATGAGTACTAAAAGCCCATATAGCCTTTCTTAACTCCTGCATTTATTAACATATAAGGAAGATCAAACAAAATTTGCAGAGCTCTAGTCATCAACAAAATAAAATAAAGAGATCTCAGTTACCACAGGGAACAGTGAAGACAACCAATTTATTTGTAGTCTTAGGATACATGCCATGAATGTCACTGTCTTGTTCATGACAAGCTAAAGGAAGGTATCTTTTTTAAGCCTGGAAATCCAGGTTAATGGTGAAACTAGATGCAAGATTAAACACTTTCCCGTCTAGAAACTGCAGTCCTTGTGTCTGTCTGTCTATGCATGTACTTAGAGTCTCAGGCATCACAGCACCTACGGATGCAGTGATACTGCCGAGGGTATGTTGTGCCTACCTGCTGTTGGATTTCAGTAGGGGTGAAACTAGATGCAAGATTAAACACTTTACCGTCTGGAAACTGCAGTCCTTGTGTCTGTCTGTCTCTCTATGCATGTACTTATGATACCATGCTCTGCTTTGCTTGCTGTCTTAACCCACAGCAGTGATTTTATCAATCAGAATTTTTTTCAGGGTTTATCTGCTTCCAGCCTCCCCGATACCATGCTCTGCTTTGCTTGCTGTCTTTACCCACAGCAGTGATTTTATCAATCAGGGTTTCTTTCAGGGTTTATCTGCTTCCAGCCTCCCTCCTGTAAATACAGCAGAAGGAAGATAAATGGTTTACATTATGTAGAACATCCACATTTTCTTCTGAGTGCTGCACGCTCGGTGTCTGTGTGCTGGCTGGGGAGTGCAAAGCTGGAATGTGGATGTCCTAACCACCGTTGGGGTAATGTGAAATGGGAGACCTCTACCGTGTCCCTGTAGGATTGCTAAAAGTAGAGAAGAAAAACATTGCCTTTATTAGTTAAATGAGATTGGAGTGATTACTTTGCTTTAAGATTGCAGCTCTGTTGCAAACTATGATTGAGAAACACTCATCAGTAGTTAGCTGCAATGGCTGTGGGAGAATCCTGCTGTGGTATTTCGTTTAATGATGCCCTGAAATTTTCCATTCTTTTCAGATTTAATCTTTGGCACCTATTAGAGGCCGTTGTTTCTTTTCCTTAGACCCAGAGAAAACCTTCTTCTGTGTCAGGGAAAGGTCCAAAACTAGATCTCGGTGCCCCAGCTGCTTTCAGGCTCTGAACTGGAGTGCTATGACATCCTTCAGGTGAACACTCCAGAGTACAGAATTACCAGTATCTAAACAGAGAGCAAGCTGCAAGGCTCTCCGCCTCCGCTTTCACTTGCTCCTCCACTCAGTCTCATTAGGCAAACGAGAAGTTTAATAAAAGCCACTTAAACTTGAGTAAAATCCTTCCCGCATGTTGATATC